CTGTAGTGTCACATATTTTTAACCTTCGCAGGTCTGCAACTGGACAAAGAACAAGATCTGTATTAAAGGCAGCCATTAATAATAATTAATCTAAATAATGCATAGTTTTGATTTACGGTAACCACCTTGCATTAAAAAAAAAACGGTCTTGATGAGAAATACACAAATCAACTGTGATGTTGGTAGTCTATGAATGGATAATTACCTGGATAAACTGAATAATTGCCTATTCTTTCTCACACAAGAAACACCCCTCGAAAAATAATAGAACAGTCGACTCCTGGCTCCAAGCACAAGCGGCCCCGCAACCATGCAACTTCCTCATTCAACACAAAGATGAGAAAACATGTTTACCGGCTGCCTTAAAACAAATGTTGTTCTTTGCCCAGTTACATTTTTTGACTTATTTTCACAAACCCAGAAAATTAGGGTGTGCATTGGATAACTATTATAGATGTACTGTAAGTAATACATACAAGTACCAATATCAAACAGTGGTACTTGGAAAAAAAAACTAACAATATTTTGAAATTTTGAACAGCTCTATTTCGGTAACGGAATTACACAGAAATTTTAAATTTTATTCTTGATCACGGAACATAAGATCAATCATATCCATTATTGCTATCAGTCATCAACATGATCATTGTTACCACCATGGAGATAAAAAATATATTTTTCTACCTCCATGCTACAGTAGGGCCTACCACTGATGTCAGATTATACTGACTGAGCTTTCAATCATGATTGTTAATAAAATGGTCACATGACCAAAGGTACTCAACCGCATTTCTCTGAGACAACAGCAAAAGCTTTTTTTAATTATTATTTTCAGAGATGATTATGACATCACTATGTGGGACTGTTTCTTTATAAAATGTACACTACCTAGATTGGAATTATGCAGTTATGACACAGACACGAAAACACCAGCTATCAAAAGCGGTATTATTGCTATCCGTATGATTATATTTAGATTGAATTTACACAACTTATATCATCATTTTAAGAAATTGATGAAACTGTCAACATATGACCTATATTAAACTAGAACAACTTTACTAAAGTATGTCACAGCTTACGACTTTGATAGGATATAATTTATCCAGTACGTCTGGATAAAGATTGTATAAAATTTATGTATGCTTTTTCTATTTGATTATCTATAAAAAAAATTAAGTACCAATTATAATCCAATAATGGTAAGAAAAGTTAATTTGGAATTAATGCAACCTACTTCCGACTTGGAAATATGTTGCAGCTCATAAGAATGAGATCAGCAAACAAAGAAAAAAAAATGAGGCCTAATTTCTTTAGCTACTAATAAAGCTACTGTATGAGAATGGTTGACTGCAGTACGAATCTACTGTACTGTACATGTGTACCGTATATACCATACCAACTTTACAGTTGAAATTAAATTTGATAAGGATGTGGGTTAAGCAATGGTGTGAGAGAAGAAAATATTGGTGCACAACAGCTCAGAAAAATGTGGGAATTCATTTATAGGCTTTTTAAATTTCTATACCTTGTTTTGCAAATCCCTTTGGTTGCCAATAATGGTGATTTTGAAAAAAAAAAAAATGTTACTTTTGGCCAGTTAATGAACCCTCTGCCACAATTTTTTTTTTATTATGCCCTTCACTCCCTGGGGAGTATTCCTAGTTGTGCATGTTATCAGCAGTACTAATTTCATTGGAAATCATTCACCTTCTACTGTACCAGGTACTCATTTATACCCCAGGGTGATGGGAGGCAAATGCAGAAAGTGTCTTGCCCAAGGTCATCATATAAGCAGTGTGACAAGTCTCGGTCTTGAACCCCAACTTTCCAATTGCAAGTTCAACGCCCTACACGCTGCGCCACACGCTTCTACTAATGCTAATCATTTTAATTATATTTAATAATAATAATAATAATAATTATATTTAATAATAATAATAATAATATCAATTTATAAAGTGCCAAAAACACTGAACCGAAGTAAAAATCAAAGCCATGTGCATGTTTAGGTGTTTTGAGCTTGGTCTTCAAAATAGCAACTGAGGGTGATTCGGCAATACATTTAGAGAGGGCGTTCCAAAGAGTGGCAGCTGAAAATAAAAATGATCTGCAACAACAATTTAGTGTTAGGTAAGTGCGCTGTTCGAGTCACAGTAATTAAATGTTTGAATTTTATATTTTATACATTTAGTTCTGAAGTTCGTGATTTTTCAATCTAAGGTGTCCTATCTTTCTAAATCCTTCAGGGGGTGACGAGTTTGGGTAATGGTGTGGGGATGTGATGGCTTATCTCAAATAACAATCACCGCAAGTGTATTTGTAGGCTCAGACCATGGTCAAAATCCAGCTGACCGCAGGCTTCTTCAAGGCCATCGAAGAGCCTACAATAAGATTAGCCTAATCCTATTGCTTCCTCCATGGTCAAAATGTTATTCAATATAGCAGTGTTTTAGGCTGTTATTAACCAAATAGCCAAATCCTAATAAAACCTGAAATTTGCTAAATATTTTCATTCAAAATTAGCCAAATATTTAAATTAAAGTTATCATTGCTATTCTATTGTTTTGGCTAAATCAAACTTCTAATTGGCACACTTTCTTCATACCAAATTAGCCAAATTGCTAGGTTTTGGCCAGCTTAAATTGGCCAGCTTAAACCTTGAATTAGTGATTGCCATTTTTGTTATCTAACTGTTCTATAAACCAATCAAAAGTTTCAACAGAATAAATGAATTGAAAATGAAATTTAGATGGAGTTATTTTTAAATATGTGTCAATGTTACTACCCTTTGGGTACTGAATAAGAATATTTCTTGGATTCTGGAAACGTTATTGGATTCCAGAAGAAACTGATGGATGGAGGTATACCTCCATGATCCATGTAGTACTCGTAAGTATCTATTTTGGTACAGCACCCGCCACCGCAAAATAATGGAAATTTTAAAAAAGAAATTTTAAAATTACACCCGCCGCCACTGCCAAGCAATCGCCATATAAAGAACCTGATTTTTTTTCCACATAATTAAACAAAATAAAAATCAAACCAATCTGATTACTAAAATGTTTACATTGCTTTCCAACAAGCAAATGACAGAATCGCTAGCAAGGTCCTACAGAGCACCCTCTATTACTTTCTTATTTCACACATTTTTTTTAATCGACAACAAAGTTTATGGTTTTATCATTTTTTCTTCTGTATACAACAAATGCTTCGGGCAAAAGTAAATTGATAAAAGAGAAAACAAAATCACATTTTTTTTACCCATAAAATGTACAAGTCATTTAAAACAAATTCTCCTCAACTTAGTCAGTATCTGCCTCACATTGTAGGCAACTTATTGATCCTTTCTAGAAAACAAATTCAATGATTCTAATTGAATGTTTTAGGGATTCTCTATATAAACCGGGTAATCTTTAAACATAAAAAAGTACAGAAAATATGCAATGTCCTTATAATTAATCTGTTCAATGAACTTTGAGTATCCCTCTTTAAGTCCACATCAATCACAGAGGGCCTAAGGTGTTTTTACAGGTAGCAGTATAGTACTCTTACTTTGACAATTTCAAAGACACTTAATCTTTGGAATTTGTATTCAATGAAAATCCAATTCAGTCTAAATTCTTACAGCAACTGTAGGTTGTCATTCTGCTATTTCTGTTATGGTAAGTTTGTTGGCAGTGATTACTTGCTTTCATATCTTTGCTGATAGTTGAATAATGATAATAATAAGGTTTATAAAGCTACAGTAGCGACTAAGAATTTAACAGCATTTTATGCCCAAGAAATATGCATGCCTTGGTATAAATTATACAACATAAACTATAACATGAACATATTAAATTTACAAGATCACAAAAAAAAAAAACAGGTAAAACTCAAATAGACTTACTTGATAATTAAAATTAGGTACAGTTAGTCATATTTTATTTTAAGGGAAAAAAAATCACATTCTCATCCAAGCTTGATTCTTAAAGTCTCATAGAACAGAAAACGAGCCTTGAATTGATCAACTGATTGATACTCAATATGTGTATGAATAAAATATTACATTATTATACCTGTCTGTACTAGTTTTTGTTAAAAATTAGTGCGAGTGAGATTTAAACCAGGGTCTACTATACAGCTCAAAAAGCAAAAAAACAGTGGTTTCTGAAAAAATTTGGTGAAACCTCTAACTTTACATTATGCAATATTCATAAATTTTTAAAAGAAATCGGACAAACATAACAGTTACATTTGGCTTACTGTAGGCCCTACTGGACACGCATCTACTGTACTCTTGTGTGGTAATATTTTGAATATTTTTACAATTTATATTGGCGAGTTAGATGGGCGAGTGGTCAAGGCAGGGCAATGGCTCCTGTGCCTTATAAAGAACCCAGTACATCTTTCGAGACAAATAGGGGGTACCCCGGTGTAGGCCTACTGGTTCATGCAGCCCCTGTTGTTGATAAACAAGAGAAAGCTGGTACCGGTTTATGGGGTACCTGTAGCTCAGACACGAAGAGACCTAGTGGAGAAGAAAGTTACTGTGCAAGCTAGTCCACACATCAACACAAGCGCTTTGAGACTTCGGCCTCCAATCCAACCACACTACATTAGGACTAAGCCTACTAGGCCTTGATAGGCCTGAAGACAATCACAACAGAAATAAATGCAGGGGAAAAAAATAGGCTCCTAGGTTTTTTTAAAAATAAATACACAATAAAAGCCCTAGATGTAGGAAAGGATGGCCTGACTTGCCTAGTCTAGGGCCTATAACATAGCAGTGGGCCCTAACTAGGCATAGGCTAGGCCTAGCCCTCTATCTAGGCCTAGTCTAAGCCTGGTTCCCCTAAAAAAATGTCATGAATGGGCCCAAAATTGTAGGCTAGGCCTAGGCCTATGCTACGTAGTTTAGAACTATTATGAGGCATGAATCAAACAGTCTACAGTTGAAAAAGTGCTGGAAGTTCAAGTTTAAAATACATGTTTATAAACATAAATTTCACACTTACCAGCAATTCAGCTTTCGAACATTCTCCAAATCCGAAGCCCGAGCTCTAGCAAGAACCAGCCCCTCCGTAAGCTTCACCATCGTTCGTCTGGTGGTCCCTGAATTGAAGTGAAATATAAGCAACGCAGGACTGAGCTATTTTCAAAGCAGAATTCGTCTTCGCACGGATCTGTTGATTCCAATATTAAAGTTGTTAAGATTAACTTTTCAGGGTACTAACTGACCCTTTTAACTGTCCAATACTTTCAATCAATGGCATCGGTGTGACTTCTTCGATGCAACAACCAATAACTACCAACTACTCAACAAGCTTTCAAAGTACGTACAGCAGTCAGAATGATAATGTTCTTGAACTCTTATAGGTGGCGCTAGTCACAATGAATACAAACTTGATATATTTTGGGATACTGTATTATACTTCAAGTTTAGCAAAGTTTAGACAACATCTTTTCTTTGATGACCTCTCTATCCATAATGAATTTTTTCTTAAATACAATTTGGTTGATTCTGATTACAATGATGCAAGATTTATTTTCGACAAAATTGTAAAAAAATACCTTTATATTGCTTGGATGAACGGCAATGAGCTGCATGTACAAGAACCTGTAATGTTATACTGAATTTGACTTTGACTGCGGCACTGGTCCGTGGGAAAAAAATTAATAAATAAATGAAATAAATAAATAATCGACGTTCCGGTAATTTCACACGACTACTAAGTACAGGTTTTGTGCAGCTCAGCGTGTTTCATTCAATTTACTTACTTAATTATAGTAACAATTTGTTAGATAGGGCCGGCCTATACAATAAAGGTAAAACTTTACTGTAAACTGCTTGGTTTTGTTTTTGTTATGCTATTTATCCGTTTGTTGTTTTTGAACTGTCTTTTTTTGCTTTCCTTTGTTTATATTTTATATTGTTCATGGGTGCACCATCAAAGTGATAGGTGCCTGATCTGAGAGTTAACCCAATAAATCGTATCGTATCGTATCAAGTTTTATTTCATGGGAGATGATGCTCTTTGGCCACAAACAATACACACACGAGATTAGTACGTACACAATTTAATCGTTTTTAAGTAGGCCTAGGTCAGCTAAAGTAAGTTAATTTGTATGGCGTGTATGGCGATCTACAATACTTTTCAAGCACTAGTTGAATTAATGATGGTTAGGCCACCTCTAGGCCTACGTGGCAATGAATGTACACAAATAAATAATTAAATACAAATAGGCCTAATGGTATCTATTCTATGAAATTGATCAGATTAAGGCATCACACAGTAATAAGGTAAGGACGCAAAATTTATAAAGGGATGTGCCCTTTCCGGTGCACTTGTTCTGATTCTCTATCCGCTATACGAAGGGCAATGATCTATATTCAAGGGAGGTTTTGAAATGGTGATTGTTTGTCACTACTGTAGTAGTCATTAGTGAAAATTGTGCGTCTGAGGAAGCTCTATAATTGTATTTTGGAAAGGTCCGTACATGAAAATCTCTTAATTTTTTTTAACCAAAAATAGGTCTAATTTTCAAGATGAGTTGTCTTATTAGGCGTAGGCCTAGCCTACACACGAGACAAAAACTGAGTTGGAAATGGCTTCAAAATATTGAATCCATTTTATATAAGTTTGATCTACAAATGTTCTTTAACATTGACTATTGTACAAAATGGCTTAA